ATATCTTACCGGTCGGCAACTAAAGGTTGCCATAGGAGATTGCAGATCAGCTAGCTTCTTCGCCACATCAGGTATACCTCAGGGAAGCCACATGGGACCGTTAATTTTTATACTGTACTTCAACGACGTGCATCTGGTCATCCAAGCTCCTCGGTTATCATATGCAGATGACCTCAAAATCTTCCTACGAATCTGCTCCATTGCTGACTGTCACTTTCTTCAACGTCAGCTGAATGTATTCGCTAGTTGGTGCAGGTTAAACAGAATGGTAGTGAACCCAGCCAAATGCTCCGCTATTACGTTCTCACGAAAACAACAACCGATAATATTTAGCTATGACCTGCTTGGTTCGACAATCGAACGCGTGAATCAGGTGAAAGACTTGGGTGTGATCTTGGATTCGCAGCTTTCATTCAAGCAACACATTGCATATGTTGTTGATAAGGCGTCAAGAACTTTAGGGTTCATTTTTAGGATAACTAAATACTTCACTGATATCTACTGTCTAAAATCTCTCTATTGTTCGCTTGTTCGATCGACGCTTGAGCGATTTGGAACCCAAACTACAACAACGGTGCCGATAGAATTGAATATGTTCAACGTCGCTTTCTTCGTTTTGCGTTGCGTAGATTGCCTTGGAATGATCCGTTTCGATTATCCAGCTACGAAAGCCGTTGTCATCTTATCGACCTAGAACTTCTCCGGACTAGAAGAGACACAAGCAGAGCCCTAACCGTGGCCGATATCTTGCAAGGAAGGACAGATTGCGAGGCTATCCTGAGGCAAATTAACCTGAATGTTCAACCCCGGCCGCTTCGTAATAACCTTATGCTAAGACTGCATCTACATCGCACAAATTATGGAGCATACGGTGCGATTTGTGGACTGCAGAGAATATTCAACAGAGTTGCATCTGTTTTCGACTTTCATCTCTCCCGTGATGCGCTTCGTCGAAAGTTTTCTTCTGTTTTTCGTCGGCAGGAGTAACTGACTATAAAGCTGGGTTTAGACTAGGCAAGTCAAATGATCAACTCAGTTGAATTCAATTGGCTTGAAAAGTTGAGCGTGGTTCAACTTTTTCCAATTCAAGTGAGTTGATCAAGTCAGTTGAATGGCATGGTTTACACGTTCAAGTCAGTTGAATTCAACAGACTTGATCAATTAACTTGCCCTGTCTAAACCAAGCTTAAAACTGGATTTAGACAGGGCAAGTCAATTGATCAAGTCAGTTGAATTCAACTGACTTGAACGCGAATTGAACGTGTAAACCATGCCATTCAACTGACTTGATCAACTCACTAATACTCTAACCTCTACTAGCCGGCAGTGTTATTATGGAAGAACTCTCTCTACAATGTCGCATTTATGGTCATTGTAGACAGCTTTAGTCCGGGAGTTAGAAATTGATAGCTCTATTGCAGATCCAGTAACTCATTTCAGAATGTCTGGAGAGTCACGCCCATTCCGAGGTAACTTTCACTTACAATAAGCCCCGCATGTATGTATTACCTCTATCAATTGGATATTAGTGTTACACACACACTTCTAGCTTCAAAATGTTCTTTTCAAACCTGCCACGTATTTAGCTTGTTTTTTTTTAATTGTAAAATGTATTTGGACTGGTCTCACTATATTAATTTGATCCTCCAATCCATGGGTTCCGTAATTTTGATTTTCTCTAAGCTTTGCATCTCATTTCGTGATGCACCTTTGTCGTAATACTTCCTTTAACGAACACAAATTTTCTTGCATTGTCATGGTCATCTGGGAGAAGGTTCGCGTGTAGTGCTTTCCCCAGGAACAGTTCGCGGCCACCAACTGGCACCCGTCCAGTTTTGGGCGTATCCAGCGAGGCATCTTTCATATTGCTCGCAATCTCCGACACCGGCGAGAGACCAGCAGCCGAGCACTTTTGCAAGCGGAAAACTTGCTGATTCACGGCAACGTCGGCCACCGAATCACCACCAAAACTCGCGACTGACACATTATCAACACGTTCCCGGGCTAATTCACCAACTGGACCGATCTCTCAATAGAACTACACGCCGAAAGTGTAGCATCCGAACTCGGAGAACCGGGCTCCCGGGAGGCAATGAAAATCAACACCGAACAATGGAACTGAATCTGCGTTGTATATTTTGGAGGTTAAATTCAAGTCCAACCGAGCCACTCAAGGCAAAACACGATATATCACTAAATGATAACTTTATGAACACTTGCAACTAAATTTCAGCACACAAATTAACAAATTTAAAGCCAAAATGTATTTAATTCGCTTACGAAAAATACGCAGCAAAAGAAAAACACGTCAGCTTTCAAGCGCGGCCTACTGCGATCTCTCCCTGTAGTCGTTTTTGTGGATGGCCAGAAAAGCCATATCAGTATTGAGCTGGCTGAGTTTTGCACACAAAATCAGATAATACTGATTTCCCTTTACCCTAATTCAACGAGAATTCTCCAACCACTAGACCGACTATTCTTTGGACCATTCAAGAACATTTAGTGCAAGGTTCGCAGGCAATTTCACCTAGGTAGTGATTCTGCTAGAGTCACAAAATCGAACCTTGCCAAGCTTCTGAAAACGGCAATTTCAAAAATTTAAAAGACTGTTTGAAAAAGGCAAAAAGGTAGCTCGCCCACGCATGCTAACACTACCGACAAACCGACATGAATTATCATACAAATTACAAAGAAAATTCTGAACAAAGCACAAAACTGACATGTGCCGCCGTGTTCGCGGAAAATATTTATCCTAGCCACGAATACGCGTCCAAAATGTATGAGTAGGTTCGTGTCTAATCTATTTCGGAAAAAAATATTTTGATCTAGATAAAACATTTCTATGGTTTTGACAGATGGGATCGCTGCACATTTGAATCAGCCGTTATGGATTCTCGATCAAGAGCTAAGTTTAAGTTTCATGTCGGTTTGTCGGTGCTAACACTACCATCAGATAGGGGAAATTTTTCCCTACCTGCTAATGGTGTTAGTAAGCGTGTGAGAGCTACCAGTTACGCCAAATTGACGATCAAATGCATTGTTTGCAAAAGCTGATACGTCCCTTTGAAAAAGTAATCGAGACTTAGATCCTTTTTACACGGAGGATATGAACAGTGTGAACCTACAAAGATTTTGATTTTGAACATACAGTCAAGATTCCTATAGTGCGGATTTGTTCTTGCCGGATTCCTATAGTGCTGATGCCACTGGATTCCTATAGTGCGGTCGATCCGGCATTAACGAATACACGTATACTATATGGAAATGGAGCTAATTGGGACCAAACACTGATTGTACGGCAATTTGAAGAAATAACTTCCTGATGTCTTTGGAGAAGTTGTTAAGCATATAGTTGGTCACCTTTTGAGAAGAGTCTGTTTTCGAGAGGACACGAGTCTGGTCATGTGGAAGATCCGGAACATCCTTAAAAGAGGTTAGTTCATGAAACTGATCCTAGAGCTACGTGTTTTTTTAGAAACCACTCATAGACATCTTATCAGAATTAATTCAGAGTTGTGTTCAGAATATGGACTCTGGAGGCTACGGGATGTTCCACCGGATAATCCGGAACATCAGTAAAAGTGGTCAATTCGTGAAACTGATCCTAGAGCTCCACGGTTTTTTATAAAGCACTCATAGACGTCTTATCACCATAAAATCGAAGTTTTGACCAGAAAATTTAAACTGGGGACCACAGGTTGGTCCACTAAAAGATCTAGAACATCCGTAAAAGCGGTCAATTCATGAAACTGATCCTAGAGCTCCGCAGTTTTTTCGAAACCACTCATAGACGTCTTATCACAATTAATTCGGAGTTTTGACCAAAAGATCACGGGATGGTTCACTTAAAGATCCGAAACGTCCATAAAAGTGGTCAATTCATGAAACTGATACTAAAGCTACGTGGTTTGTTCGAAACCACTCATAGACATCTTATCAGAACTGGAGACTACGGGATGGTTTACCGGAAGATCCGGAAACTCCGTAAAAGCGGTCAATTCATGAAACTGATCGTAGAGCTCCACGGTTTTTAGAAACCACTGATAGACGACTTATCAAAATAAAATCGGAGGAATGACCAGACAATTTATACTGGGGACCACGGGTAGGTCCACTAAAAGATCCGGAACATCCGTTACAAGTGGTTAACTCATGAAACATATCCTAGAGCTCCATGGTTTTTTTCGAAACCGTTCATAGTTCTAAAGAAACCAGAGTACTGATATTAGTTTTCTTGAACTACCCTCTTTAACGGATGTGCCGGATATTCCGGAGGACCATCCAATGGACCCTGGGGTCCATTTTCCAGTCACAACTCCGAGTTCATTCTGATGAGACGATCGTAACTCCCGAATTATTAATTAAAAGACGTCTATTTCGAAAAAATACGGAGTTCTTGGATCAGTTTCATGAATGCACCTCTTTTACGGATGATTCGGATCTTTCGGAAGACCATGCACTGCACAATAGTCCCAAAGCCGTATTTAGGAAGACAAAAATGTATGCGCCCAAACCGCCAGTTTCCGATCTTTTTATGTTAGCGAAGTTAGTGATTTGAGAATACAAACTTTTTTATTATTTGAGATAGACCAATGCAATGTTCTTAAAAGTTGTAGAACAATAAATTCGAAGCAACTTTGCCCAAGACATCAAATTTCTATCTCTTATGACTCATGAGTTATGATTATTTTAAACAAGCAGATTAGGGTGACCCATACAAAAAACAGATTTCTTTAACTACCTTTTCATAAGTTCATTTCTCGTAAGAACGTTGTTTTGGACACATTTGAAACTTATGATGACGCACATGTTTGCTGAAGTAACCAGGATGCTATCTTTTTTTATAAGAAAATTAATGGAGATTATCTTCGAAAAAATGGTTCTATTAAATTGTCAATCGCTCTAAATGGAGCAAACTAATTTTCAAACTTTTGATTCCATTTGAAAGATCGTATAGTTTTCATTATTGGTAAAAAAAACTGTGTGTTTAGTGCATTTAATTTAATTTAAAAAAGTCATAGCAAAAAACTAGCCATATCTTTTCAAATAAAGGAGATATCAACTTAGTTGCTTCAGCACAAATATGCGTCATAAAAAGTTCTAAAAGTATCTAGATCCAAGTTTTTACGAGAAATAAACGTATCAAAATATATTTAAAATGAGCCAAATTTCTAGGGGCCACCCTAACCTGCTACTTTAAAATAATCATAGCTCATGAACCATAACAGATAGAAATTTAATGTCTAAAGCAATGTTGCTTAAAATTGACTGTTCTACAACTTTTTTAAACATCGCATTGATCTATCTCAAATTGCAAAGTTTGTAATTCACCAATTTTATGGACCACCCTAATTTTCCTAACATGAAAAGATTGTCAAAAAATTACGAAGAAACTTTCCCCAAGACACCATATATCTAAAAGTGATGGTTTGGGCGCTAATGTTTTTGTCTTCCTAAATATGGCTTTGGGACCAGGTCCCCAGAGTCAATTTTCTGGTCTTAACTCCAAATTGATTCTGATAAGACGCCAATGAGTGGTTTCGAAAAAAGCGGACCTCTTAGCTCAGTTTCAAGAACTAAACAATTTTATGGATGTTCCGGATCTTCCTGGTGAACCATTTCGTGGTCCCAAGGGTCCATTTTCCGGTCACAACTTCCATTTTATTCTGATGAGACATCTATGAGCGATTTCGAAAAATCAGAAGAGCTCTTGGATCATTTTCGTAAATTTCTCTTTTTTATGTATGATTTGGACCCTCTGGAGGGCCATTTCGTGGACCCAAGGGTAAATTTTCCGACCGCAACTCCAAATTCATATGTATAAGATGTCAATGAATGGTTTAAAAAAAAAAAAAAAACAGTGGCCAAATTCCGGTCACAACGTCGAATTCATTCTGATAAGACGTACAGGATCAGTTTCCGGGTCTTCCGGAGGACCAGACTTCTGACTTTTCGGATGCAAAATTGTCCCAAATGGAGGGCATCTATCTTGTTAATAACATTTAATAAGACACCAGGAAGTCATCTCTTCAAATTACCCTACAATAAGTGTTGTCCCCAATTAGCTATAATCTTATATGCTAAGTGTATTCGTTAATGCCGGTTCCTATAGTGCGGTCCCTATTAACCGTACTACAGGAATCTTGACTGTACTAAAATATAAAAATAAAATGATTTTTATGCCATTCCTATTTTTTTTTTTGAAAGTATGCCGTTCGATTACCTATGGCTTTAAACGCATTACGTGATTCGAATCGAGTCGATGGGTTGTATCGTTATCGAGAAATTTAAATTACAAACGTACCGTGTACATTGCGACTCAGCGGCACCAACCGTGTAAAAAATTTGAAGATCACAGTATGGACAAAATTTAAAAAAAAATCCTCAGACACATAAGGGTTAAAGAAATCACATCAATCTCACAACAAGATTCTAAATTCACCCCGCCGAGTTCAGAAAAAAAAGGTTAAAATTAGGCAATGCTTCTTGAATGTAGCATTCCCACGATGAAATGCTAATCAATCTACACATCTTATGTTTAAAGCTGTTATGTAGAACAAACTATCGACTTCATTAGAGTAAGTAATAGAAGCATTGGACCAATTAGCACAGGAACTCGTGAGAATCGTAATTAGTAACACGTGCTGCAGCATTCGTGGAAAAAAAAGACAGACATCTTCGTTCTTACATAATACAGAAAACGTACACACAAATACGCCCTCCTAGCAATTATCCAACCGAGAAGTCGGTTCCAACCGATTTTATCTGGAAAACAAGTGCAACGATGCATCAGCTCTCCAACACACATGCACGTACACACGACCGACGGTTAGTTGGTGCTAGGACCACCAAACACAAACCGGGTGTAGTTATAGTATGATGCAACTTGCACCGCATCAAACCGCATCGTATCTACACTCATAGTACGAACTTCTATTGCCACTTTGTTTCTGCTGATGCTGTTGCTGCGTTTCTTCATTCACCTCTTTCGTCTTGCGATCTGTTGCTACATCTGCCTGCAGCAATCATGTAAGCATCGCCGGTTATCATCCTCAATCACTACTAAAACAACTATAACTACGACGTGTAAACACACTGTTTACCCTATACACACGCCTGCTGCATCTATGTGTACCTAGCTGCAACTGCTAATTAAAACAGGTTCTCTCACACAACGGCGGTGGTGTAAATGAGCTTCTGCTTTGCCACCTCTTCATGCACTAGCACACAACTTAAGATTAGCTCTAAAACAAATGCTTTGGTTCCGCGTTTCATTCTTCCTCCAGTTCCTCCTCGATCGACAGCGACGATCGCCTGAGGAGAACTTTCTTCGTCCGCAATCAGGAGATAATCGTCGGATATCGATTGATCATCGGTCCCCCTACTCCTCCGCCTCCTCCGGCATTGCTACCGTTGCTGCTACTTACGTACATTTCGTTTCCACTGGCGTTGGAGCCATTGGATGCTGCAATCGACGCCAGACCACCGGCGGCGGCGGCGGCTGCCGTCTGTATTAGCGGTGTCCCCACTCCATCCGGCCGGGGACAACCGATCGTGAGCTGTACCTGTAGTCCGGATTCCTTGATCAGGTTCACCACGTCTCCGTGGCTCATTCCGGTGATGTCGATCGAATTGACCGCCACGATACGGTCGCCGATTTTCAACTCACCGCACCGCTCGGCCGGGCTGCCCGGAATGAGGTCCCCTATCGAGGAACCGTGGTACTGACCGGAGGAGGAAATTATCACAAAACCGAAGCCTTCGTTTTCGTTGCGCGATACCAGCACGTTGTACGGGTAGCGAGGGTTCGGCGGAGGTGGTGGCGGTTTCGCTAGCTTTCGCCGCCGTAGGATCATCGTGACCTGGCCGCGGAGACCGGCTTCGCCCATCAGCTGCACTACCCGGTGGTGGGAGGCATTCTCCTGGAAGAAAATGGAATGGGTTAGAGGAGTCAGATTTTTGAACCTATAAGGTAATTAGAAATGCATGGGTGTTGTTCGATCAAGATCAAGGAGAATTCCAAAGGGGCTGTTCATTAACTACGTAGACAGTTCTTTGGGATTCTTGACTCCCCCTTTGTCTACGTAATTTATGAACAGCCCCAAAGCAGTTCTGAGTAACATTTCAATGTGATTTTGAGGAGATTGCTATGGGTATTTTGAAGAAAACTCTAATACCGAATTTGCTTTTGTTTCAGTTCCAACCTGGATCGGGTATCAAGATTGATCCTGCCAGTTTTCTGACAGAAGTCAGTTTGATATCCCAGCTGGAGGTTCGCACTGATAATAAGAAGCTCGAAAATAAAAATTAAGATGTTCGTAAATCCCTCTCTTGTAGATCGTCCGATTTTCTAAAAGGTGTTTGTCAAAATTGATTCCTTGTCTGTCATAAATAAGTTTGGTAGAATAGCAGGTTTATTTGTGAATTTTCCATCAGTCAAACTTAAGTAAAAGTTCACCAAATGAAAGTAAGTGAATTTTAAGAATAATTCCAAGTAAATTTTAAAGATAGGTAATTTTAAAGAAGTTCTGAGGATAAATTCAAAGGAAGTTTCAATGAAATTAAAAAAAAATCGACCGCGTTACGAAAAGAGGTTAGGTTTTGACCACTTATGACTCTGACAAAAGCGGATGGATTTTAATTCTGAACAAGCCAATCGATTGGAAATATTTCTACAAATCTGCTAAATTGGAAACTTTTATCAACTTCAACTATGTAAATCGTTGACTTCACGCAGAAGTAATACTAAACATATAGTCAAAGTACATAACTCTGGATGGGGGCATACCATCAATTGATCTAAAGGTACAGTAGCAGTACCTACCCCACACGTGTCCCCTCGAGAACGTAAAGTCGACGATGACAGGAGCACATACCGTGGTGGAGGTAACGATAACTGCAATTTCCAAACCTACGACTGGATGCCTTCCTTCAAATAACAACTGGAGTGCGGTAAAAATCGGTAGAACTGTTTCAAACACATCGTCGGTACTTGATCGGGTCGTCGATCGTCTCTTTTTGCCAGTGGTGGCGGGGGGGGGGACACCCCTCACCATCCCTCTCCAAAGGCTCAACTGTTGCAATGGTGATCAAATTTATCACCGATTGCCTGCAAAAAGCGCTTTCCCTAACACCGATTTCAAAATCGAATTCCATCCGGTATCGATGAACGGTGCTTATTAAATCACCGTGTGTGGTGGTATCCGGTCGGTCGTCATCAGCAGCAGCAGTGCTTTCGGCGTGTGGCGTTGAACATTGTTCTCCAGTACACAACGAAAAGCTGCCCGCAAGCAGCGAGCTGCAGCCCACATCAGCGTCCATTCACCGAAGAAGGACGAAGAAACCGCATCGCTACTGATAGGATTCCGTAGCACTTCGTGAGTTGTGTGTCGTGCATACAGCTCATCAGCCTCATCTGTGTTGAACACCTTAATAGCACAGCATTACTCAACCATCACGACAAAACGGTCCTTTTCAGGACCACAATAAATTTCCTAAAAAGTATTTTCTGGACATTTATCAAGGTCGTCAATCGGATGTCAATTCCCGAAAAAATTAAATCGTGACCTTGTAAATTAACCAGAAACACTTCGAATTATATCGCGAATATCTCACGATTGAAGGATATTTGCGAGGGGGACGACTCTATCTACGTTGCAGGAAAGATTGTGGCTAACTGCGTGCACGCTGAGTAGATAGAAAGAAGATTGATGATGATTCTGAAGATTCGCTGCAAAAAGATGATTCGCGATACAAGAAGATGCGAGAAACGAAAGAAGATTTTCCGAAGATTGATTCGCTAGTGTGAGACTTTTTGAGCATGTAGAGTTGAGATTTAGATGTGTCGCCCCCCTCGGATATTTGCAAGAAATTCCTTCAACCAGTTCGCTTATTTTATTATTTATTGAATAAACCAAAAATTGCATGCATTTTGGGCACGAATATGCGCAATTTTGTCATCAGAAAACGAAGCGTTTCCGTGATAGGAAAAAGTGGTTTCCCTAACACAGTCGCCGAACATTGATACCGAGCAGGTAATCCTATGTCAAATCTATGGTTGTTTCTTGGATACAACCTCTTACTAAATTGAACATCGGGTAGGGATTTTTTTAAATATTTGGTTTATTTTTTTTTTTTTGATTTATGCTTAAAATAAATATTTCTCTACAATTTTGTGTCAAACGTCATTTTGAGCAAACATGTAATTTTCACGCAAAATTTATTTGAAAAATTTCAAGAACACCATTTTGAAAAAATTGCAATATACACGGATGAGGACATAATTTGATCTGAATCGAGAAAAGACATAACAAAAAAATTCCCATTAACACACGTGTATCATCTTCGGTTGTACTTCGTGAAGCAGCTTGCAAACAATTTGCTCGATTTCTTCTACAGCCCCGAGTGAGCTGTGTCACACGAGCTGCTTGTCATGAATAAAGGAAGAAGATTATATCATTATTGCTTTCCACATCTCACATCTGACTTTTTGTCACTTTGTCATTTGGAGATATTTTTGATTCCTTGGGTGCGACACATCTAAATCTTAGGTTAGGATGGTTGAAAAATCTCACGCTGGCGAATCAATCTACAAAAAATCTTTTTCATCCCTTGCATCTAAATCCATCTACTCGCATCACTCTCTACCTTTTTGCAGGAAATCTTCATAATCTTCATCAATCTTCTGTCTATCTACTAAGCGTGCGTGCATCTCACAGCAGTAAATCAGAAACTTTCCTGCAAAAATAGAGTCGCTCCCCTCGAGCCCGAGTGACACTAGCCCAAATTCACCTAGCCAGAAAATAATATTTTAGGAGATTTTTCCATATTCTGCTTATAGTTGCAATATTTATTGTCTGGCGGATAGATTTCAGATCTATCAAAAAGTGGAACTGGTTCAATATAATGTAGAAAATAGAGAGAGTAAGGACAAGCCAATCCAAACAAGGCATAGGAATTGTCGTAGGAAACTGGAAAATTATCGTCAAACAACAACACCAATAATCCATTTACTCATGACTCTGTACTCTACTAGTCCTATGTTACCCATACTGTTCCCTGTGACAAAGTACGTAAGCTCACATTCTTGGTTCTGAGCTTAACATAACTTTATGCCTAAGAGAAGAGGTGACAAAACGGGGGCGAAAATGAACCACTTTTCTGTCAAACGTGAACCAGCTCCTGATTGGTCGATTTCATGTGCGTAAGATAGAGATAGAGATAGAAATAAAAGAGGAAGAAGCCAATTGTCACCTCTTCCTTTTAGCTTTATACCCCACAGCAAACGTCTTCGGTCATGTCCGAATGTATGGATTCTGTCTCTTTTCTTCCGTCAACGAATCAAATTTAAAATGTCATTTAAAACAGAGCATCACGACAAGAATCCATCCATACTAATACGCAATGATGGTATAATCAACAATCAATTCGAAACTAACGATTTTGAATTGGCTCACTACTTAACTAGCCAATTGGTCCCAAGTAAACGATTAACGTATCCCATTCTAGTCGAAATTCTAGTACTACGCAATGTTTGTTTTGATTCGTTATGAAAGTTTGACAGATGAAATGAGGGGTTAGTGGATTTTCCTATGTTTCGAGGGGTGAATCGATTAGCTTGGGACCGAAGAGAGTACCAGAGCTGAGCCAAAAAGTTGAGCACGTTATTTCGGGACCTTCTAGTCTTAGAGTTACCTCTATGGTATAATCATTAGCAAATTGATATTTTTCCGCTCTCATACTCTCTTCAATATCACGCGTTATATTGGAGCACAATATCATGCTTTACAACCCTCATTTGCTATTGCGGGACTATTCACGACGTGTAAAATTGAAGCTGAGAGTTGCATCGACGCAAAAATGATTCCGTTGCACCTCGTTTTTTTTAGAAAGAGAAGATATAATAATGCTATCTCTTTTTATCTTCACCGATGGCAGTCACGAAGCAACTGCTGCTAGCCGTTATGGAAGTCTCGGTTGCGTTCGGGTTTAAAGCAAAAATCATCAAACTCAATCTCACCACAGTTTGGTGAGATTTGCAGCTGGTGAGTTTTGTTAGCTTGATATTCTGAGCTGCAATATCACAGCTTGCAATATCAACCACAGTTGTTTGCATGTTGATTTTTGTCTACGAAAATCAAGCGTGATCTTTGGCATTGGTGAGATTTGATTTTTTTGATATTTTCCCAACACTGCTAATACTGACGCCAGATTTCAGAAAAAGTGGGAAATACCAGTGGCGTCCCGTAACCTCACTTTTTACCTGTGCACCAACTTTCAAAACCATATTCATACTCGAATCGGTTGAAAATACACTTCATCATCTAGTTTACTCGATATTTATCCACTGCAAGCAATATTTTGATAATTGTTTATGTTTTGAGAGTTGGAGCACAGGTAGATTGAGGTTAAGGAAACGCCACTGGGAAATACTGTTAAATTCCCATCAATATTGGTATTTCAGAAATTGGGATGACGCCTAAAGACGGTAAACCGATGCCCCACGCCATTTTAAAATCCAGATGGTGACTTCCGGTTTTATAAAAGTGCACGGTAAAAAAACATCATGTTCATGTAAAGTGATTTGTTGTTGAATTTGCACTACTTGCCAAACATTGCAAATCGATGTGCAAATCCCTTGGAAGAGATCACATCGAAGTACGATGAAATCAACAGCAAATCAATTCATCTTAGATTGTATTGCACATCGTTGTTGATGTGCTGTACTTTGAACTCGAAATGTCAAGCTACTGATATTAAAAATCTAATTCTTGGATTTCATGTTTGCTGAATATTGCCTTGTTCATATGCTATTCAGAATATGACCATAGAACATATATCATGTTACTACCCATATCACATGTGGCCAAGTGATATTAAACAACATTACAAGGCTTGTAGTAGAAGTAACATTAAGTAATGAATTTGATAAGTTTGACAATGTTTTGTAATAGAAGTTATATGAATAATACACTATTATTGAATACAGCAACAATTTCGTAATACTCGCGCTCTAGAATGCAAATTATTTCGGGTGGAAATGGAGAATTATCGCTTTCTTGCTCTTGATTAATTTGTTGTTGACTTGCCATCTTCGCGAGTAATGTTTGGCATGTGCGTTTTTGACATTTGCTTCCAAAAGCAAAACTAATCAAATTCAATGGATGAAAACAGTGGTTCCAATTCAAATGATAATCATTTTGATTTGAATGTGTTATACAGTACATATTTTTCAACGACAAACCACTTTGTTTCAAAAAGCAAATCACTTGAAAATCAATGCAAAATCACTTCGATTCATAGTGCCGTATGATAGACTGAGTCAAGTGCAAGAGCATTTGGATTAGATGTGACAACTTTTTACCCTGTGGGAAATACTGTCAAATACACACTAAGATTATTTTACCGAAATCTGTGAAATTTTACCGAAATCTCAACAGCTGAACGTTCGGTTAACAGTTCGGTGATTTTTCACAGTTCTGGAGAACTTCAAGATTAGGGCGGAATTGCTTTTGTAAACAAACCGGCCAATCACCGTTTTCTCGCGAATTAAAGCTCAATCTAAAAAACTAACACCACAGATAGAGGTGGAGGAATGATTCCTCCATCATTTACTATAGTTTGTTTGCAAGATTGAGCCTTTATTCGCGAGAAATCGGCGATTTACGTGTTTGTTTACAAAAGCAATTACGCCCAAATCTCAAAGTTCTCCGGAGTTTTCCTGTAATTTTTCAACGAATATTTGTGTAAAATCACTGGAAATCTGTGAAAAATCACCGAACGTTCAGCTGTTGAGATTTGTGAAAATTTTACAGAATTCAGTAAAATAATCTTAGTGTGTACCCTTCAATATGGATATTTTCAGAATCGGGATGACGTCTAAAGACCTTAATCGATGTTCAGCACATCTTGAAATCCAAGATGGCGGCTTCCGATTTCAGAAAAAATGGGATATACTGTTAAATACTCTTCAATATTATAGGCGCTATATCTACAGCCTGGCGGATAGAATTTCAATCTATCAAAAAGCGGAACCATTTCAATATATTGTAGAGCAACAGTAAAAGTACTATCATGTTTTATAAAGAAAACGTTGATTATTCTTTCCTCGTCAATCGAACGCAAATTACCAGCATCATTGGATAGGGGAAACTTTCCTCAACCCAAAGATGGTGTTAGTTTGCGTAGGCGAGCCTTGAGTCACGAAAAAACGGTTTCCGAAGCTTTGTCCACAATAGCACATGTGCTCTTTCCTGTTGTTGGTCGTGATTTGCTCGATTGGTTCCCGCAATTCTATCCGCCAGACTATGAATATAGCGACTATATTCAATATGGGTATTTTTAGAATCGGGTTCCGTATAGAGACCGAAAATTGATGTCCGACGCCATTTTGAAATCTAATATGGCAACTTCCGGTTCCAGAAAAAGTAGAAAACACTGTCGAATACCCTTAAATATGGGCATTTTCGAAATACGAATGACATATTTAGGCCGAAATCGATATCTGACGCCATTTTGAAATTCCGACATAGATTTTCGGAATGTACGCGTCGTACTTGTTCTTAAAATTTTCATATTGTAGGGTATTTCACAGGTTTACAGAATCTGAGAGCTGCCATTTTGGATTACAAAATGACGTCGGACATCGATTTTCGGCATCTACACTTCGTCGCCGTTCTGAAAATATCCATATTGTAGGGTATTTGACAGTTTTCCGATTCCGAGAGCCAGATTCTTGGATTCAAAACTGGCGTCGGACATCGGTAATCGGTATCTGCACGTCGTCCCCGTTCTAAAAATACCTATAATGTAGAGTATTTGACAGCTTTCTGAAACCAATGGCTGCCATCTTGGATTTCAAAATGGCGTCGGATATCGATTTTCGGCATCTTCACGTCGCCCCTGTTCCGAAAATACCCATCACTAGAAATCACTTAGGTAGGGGAAATGGCTATAATGTGGGCCTATGGATCTAAGATTGGGCCCATCGCTAAAAAATCTGCTATTTATCAATTGTATCTAGATGAACGCGTCATTGGGACGGTACTGATGGATGTTTTTGGTTGCTATTGAAAATTTAGTCGATTATGGGCCCAAATTAGGGACACTTAGGCCGACATTACATACATTTCCCCTACTTCCAAACACGACGTTCAGCACCAAGATTCAAGCTATTTCAATCTTGTTATGTCTCTTATGCAAAGCGACATGCATTTACTAGAAAACAACCAGCGGCAGCTTTGTCGCGACAAAATGCGAGAATTCATTTGAGTATTTGTATCTTATTCTTTTTAATTCGCTTGGATTTTTGGATTTTTCAGAGCATTCCAGATTTACTAGCCCATCTCTTATGTAGACCAACAATTGAAAAGGTACTAGCTACTTTTATTTTTTGATAGGGTTAACTACCCCATTTCTGGCCTATTAAGCACAACCTGCACTTAGTCTTTCATAATCTAGCGCAATTTAGCACCAAACGGAATGTTATTATTACTGATGGCTTCCAAATTTATTTACCTTTCCGTATGTACCGTAGGATTTGATAAAGAGAAACCAATCGTTGAGATATTGTCAAAAGTCTAACGCTGCTTCTTGATGCCAAACTCGACCTACGGATTCTAAACTCGGCCTAACGCATTGAAACGCCATTGAAACGCCAATGAATTCACTTCGGCCTATCGGATGAAGATAAAAATTGATTCGGTCGGAGCGCTTCTTTTGTTTCTCTGAATAATGGCTGCAAACTTTCATATCACGCGTTCCCATTGACTTCGTTCCGTAGCTTATAAACTAAAGTATCGTACCAAACGAACAATTGACTTGTTAACTCTGAAATGAAGGATTTATTTGAAGTTTTCTGCTCGATAGGCCCAAAATGGGCGATTAGGCCGAAGTAGTTCTCTACCCTAGTTCTTTACTCGACAACCGAACGCAAATTAACACCATCATCGGATAAGGGATACGTATCAAGCAGAGCCTTGAGTCACGAGAATAGGGTTTCCGAATTTTTGTTCGCAAAAGCTGATGTGCTCTTTTCTGTCGTTGATCGTGATATGCTCGATTGAAAGTTTGACCACAGACTAATAGATATAAAACTCGCAAGGTGTTCATCGAACAAGCATTTATTGGTGAATTGAAATGTTTTTTAGTTGGTAGTACCGCCACCTGTGGCGCGCATAGTCAATTCCCTTGCGTTTGCCGCACAGTATACTGAACAGATGGTGGTAGTGTTTTAGCGACGATGATTTATATTGAAAAATACTCAATTTTTTATGTCTGTTTATCTGTGGTTTGACTATATATCAGAACCTAAATAATATTTTAGAGAAGATTATTCCTTATTTTATACTTGAGCAGTACTTTCTATAACTTTGAAATATTTCTGAATTCTTTGAATGTATGAGGGGCTGTTCATAAACTACGTAGATTGTTTAGGGGGGAGGTGGTTGACAACTATCCACAGCCCATACAAATTTTAAATTTTTTTAAACAATTATCTACGCAGTGGGAGTGGGAGAAATGTTATAAAACCTTGGCCTTTCGGCCGAGTATATGAAACCTTAGAGATTAAATTTAGGAATTTAACTTGAACCCCATCACACTTACCACATTGACTCCGTTGATGTTCAGGATCTCATCGCCGGAAGCGATCCGTGAGTCCTTATCCGCCGCTCCACCGGGCACGATATGTCCGACGGTCACCTGCGAGCCTTCCTCGGTTCCACCGACGATCCGGAAGCCAAACCCTAGCGCTTGCCGTTCCAGGGTCACCTCCGTCAGGGTGTAGTCCTCCATCGGAACCGGTGCCATGAACGGAGCTCCTCCACCGTACATCTGCGGCGAATGTTGACCGGCAGGCACCCGCCAGCTGGCCGGCTGAGTGGGATAGAAATGCTGATCGAATTGCGACGGACCTTGCTGCGACTGCTGCTGATGCTGTGGTGGCAGAGGTACGGGTGCTTTGTGGTGGTGATAGACGTTATCATATTGGGGTTGTTGGTGCTGCTGGTGGAGGGATCGTTTCCGATCCATCAGATATTCGTTTAGCCGCTTTCCGATGTTGTCGCTCATTTGGGGTGGAAGTTGGTACGGCAGCTGCTGTTGTTGCTGCTGCAGATGGCTTGGGTTGTTCCCGTAGGAGCGGTTCAGCGTTTGCTGCTGATACATCTGTTGATGTTGATGTTGTTGTTGTTGCTGTTGCTGTTGCTGATGCTGCTGTTGCATTAGTAGCTGTTGTTGTTGACGTTGATAGTCCTGACAGTCGTAACAGAAGCAACTCTCATGGTGATACGTTGGCTGCAATTGTACGGGATTTTGTCCATAGCCTGCATGGTTCGTCGAAAGAGGTGGCACTGGAGGAGGAGGAACTAGGGGAGGTGAATACAGCTGGTTGTAGCCGTGGTTGTTGTAGTTTGGCTGGTGCTGGAGATGCCCTCCGGAGGCATACTGAGGTTGGTGGTTGTGGTAAATTGTGTCCGTAGTACTGTTGTTCGAACTGCTGATGGTCAGTTCGCCAAGCCTATCGGCAAGATTCGAATGCTTCCCTGGGTGGAATTGCTCTTCATTGTGGAACGAACCGATGTCGTTAGCTATGGAATCATTATCATGGGAGCTACTGTTGGATTTGAGGTTCAAATTTAGATCCATCTTAGCATCTCCCGTATTCTTGTTGACATCCAACTCGATTTCATCGGTATTCAAGTCGGATAATGGCAAAGAAGGAGTTTTGGCTCTAGCCCGGGTATCGACCAAGGGAGTTTTTGGCCTCGTTGGAAGAATTTCCTTAGCCTGAGTACTATAGAGCTCAGCGGTCGGAGTCTTACTCCTGAACAAACTGTTTCCCCCGATACCGTAGCCATCCTTCTTGAGTAGACCACCTCCAAACTTGGCCATCTCGATGCTCTTCCGAAGTTTATTCGTCATCTTACTACTACCGACCAACAGAGCCGACGGTCCCCTTTGCACTTTCAGTGTTGTTTCAATGTTCTTCGGACAATCCTTCAACACTTGCACCACTTCATTGTGGGACATATCCTTCACCGGAATGGAATTGATACTTAACAAAACATCTCCTTCCTGTAGGTTTTTACAACACTGTCGATCCAATATTTTCTTCACCTTCTGACCGTACGAACTATCGGTTATCGTAAATCCAAACCCGTTATCACTTTTCACTATGTTTATATGCAAAATTTCCGGAATTTCGAAACTATTATCTTTGCTCTTGTAGTGCTGCTGGTATGGATGCGTATCAGTAAAGTATACATCCCCTCCATTCGCTGTGGCACTTCCGGACTGTATTTTCGCGAGGGGATTCTTATGCTGAACGTCACCGGAATCCATGAAACCGCCCGTCTCAAGAAATTTGAGATCCGACTCCGTCATCGCACCATTGTTCAACCCATCAACGGCGATCGTCGTCACTACCTCCGTATTCGGATCGTTCGGATCAAACGGCAACGGATATCCTCGGCATACGTCCAGGTGTACTTCCTCACTGGGCATGATCGATTGAAATATGTTCACCATCTCGTGATGCGTAAATCCTAGTACGCAAATGTCATTCACATACACCAAAACGTCACCCGTCTTGAGCTTCCCATCCATCCATGCCGGACCGTTCGGTACAATCGACTTGATCTGGAGAAACTCTTCCACATTATCATCTCCACCGACAATCGTAAAGCCCAGCCCTCGTGTAGACTTGACCAGCGTCGTCATGAGCCGATCCCCTCGCAAATTAGCCGGATTTTTAGTGAAATGATTCACCCGTCCACCGATTCCGTTTCCGGCTTCGTCATGACCACTTCCTCCACCACCACCGCCAATACTGCCGTTCATCCCATTCGAACTGAGCCCACCTACGGACATTGCCGAGCTTCGTTCGGTCATACGTTTCGCCTGCAGAACCGGATTTTCGTACTGTGTTTTACGATTCACGTGATCGATGTAGTACGTGCCGTAGTGAGGGTCGCAGATCTTTTCCCATCCATATGGCAGCTCATCGTCCTGGCAGTCTTCGAGGGATTTCTTCTGAAATTTAGACAAACGAGGATCCAGCCAGTGTGAGGTGCCAGTGTTGTGACTGCAATGAGGAAAAAAAGAGAGACAGGAATTAGTTGGAATAATTAAGGCTTAACATAAACTGTGGACTGTTAATCCAAAAATACTTAAGATCACACTCAGAGATAAATCCATTCAAAAAAGTTTTTTTTTTCAGGTCACGTGACACGATGTAATAGAATCATTTGCAGCCACGTGAATCATTTAAGAAAAAGGAAAAGACTTAAGATGAATCCTACTTGATAGAAATAGCCACGAAATGCTACCAATCGTCAACATCCTCCGAATAACCCCTGCACCAAATCACCGCTCAGGGCCGGCAGTGAACAGTCAAAACCGATCAAATCAAACCTTAGTTCTAACCACATCCACAACTCGGTTCGATGAGTTCTAGCCATCGAAGCTGGAACATGAACCCAATCCTTGTGTCTTACTATGAGGATTGCGTTTGAAATATTTGTTTTTTAAATATGTATGAATAAATAGATGACAACTTACGCCCTGTTGATAGTGACAAGACTCGGATCTCTAATCGCCTCTGCCCAGGATGAGCTTGAAACAAGGAGGGAAACAAACAAAAAATGGGTTAGAAACATGGGGGATTTACGAATGTAGGGAAGGAATTTCAGGTAGGTATGGTATAACTAAATCATCGAAGTTGTGGGTGTTCAAATTATATCTGGCTGACGCTAGTTACAAAGACTAAACAAAACATCCAGCATGTTTTTAACATTTTTTTTTTAATGTTGGCCTATGGATCTAAGATTGGGCCCATCGCTAAAAATCTGCTATTAATCAATTTTATCTAGTTGAAAGCGTCATTAGTAATGGATATTTTTGGTCGCTATTGAAAATTTAGTCGATTGCTGAATTTATGTATGGGCCCAAATTAGGGGCATTTAGGCCGACATTACATCCATTTTCCCTAATTGTTATTTATTTGAAAGAAGGTATTCAAAATATTGAATTCGAGTTATTACAGCAATCTCTTGAATGAACATATCGTATAAAGAACGAGAGCGGCGTATCGTAACCTCACTGTTTACCTGTGGTGCACTAATAGCGAATTTGTTTATTATCTAGGTTGGAACCAGTTCCAACCCGTGTGAACCCGAGTTTATTGTCAGTACGAACCTCAACCCGAACCAGGTCACAAAAACAAGCGTTAACATTGACGTTTGACAGGCAACAAGCAGACCCAATCTTGATACCCGGTCCAGGTTGGAACTGAATCAAAAACAAATTCGCTATAACTTTGAAACCCCGATAAAGCCACATTTCCAGAGCGAATTGTGATTAGGGCGAAATTGGCAAAATGTGAACAAATTTATGATCGTAAACTTGATCGATTTTTAGTTGTGTTGAGCGTTTGTGAATTTTCGTTTTAAAATTCGTCTTTTTTTATAATTTCGCCCTTAAATGTGTAACGCTAAGAATACGCGCTCATTAAATCAGCTCAAACATGTTCGACAACAACAATATCGCCCAATAAGTGCTATGCGCATTGTTTTGAATTTCTTCAAATTGTTGCCCTTAACTTTTCACCGTGTTTACGTTGCACTTAAAGATGAGCCTTGTACTATTTTCGCTTTTGTTCGTAAAAACAACTTTAGCTTCACCCGTTCATTGAAATGTTTCAAAATTGCGCCCTGTACTATCGTAAACAAAGGAAAGAGCGTGACCCATTTTTAAGTTTGTTTAGAATTAAATTTTATCTTTAGCTTCGCAAGGATTTTTCGATAGTGAAAAATTCAATAAAATTTGTTTGTGCACGCTATTTCAAAACTACCCAAATTTGGGTAGAATCCACCCAGATCTGTCAAAACTGAACCTACCCAAAAATGGGTAAACTATGTTGGGAGTGACAAGTTGACAAATTAACAACGTCGATCGGATTCATGTCGATGTTGTTCATTTGTCAACTTGTAACTCCCAACACAGTTTACCCATTTTTGGGTAGGTTCAGTTTTGACCGATCTGGGTTGATTCTACCCAAATTTGGGTAGTTTTGAAATAGCGTGTGGGTAATTTTTAGTTGATCTTTGCCTGCGATTGCTGTTAAAAGTCCATTTCTCGATTAACATTTCAAAAGGTCCCATCTGCTTTGATCGATTTTCTTTTTCTTCAATAACTCAGCTGCAAAAACATCTCTTGATGTGTGCTGGATGGTTGATGGGAACTCCTTTATCGAACTGTAGCCAAAATTACGCGACATCTGTTTGTGTAGCCGTGGTTATCAACAGAGAAAGTCGATGGAGAAAATCGTTCAAAGCAGATAAGACTATTTGAAATGTTCACCTAGATTTGTTTACATTCTGCTAGTTTCTCCCTAATCACTATTTGCTCCGGATTTAAACTTGAATCGGTTGCGAAATGTACATAATTTGGTATTCAGGTAGAATGAGGTTAAGGTGTTTCGCTGTGAGATCCTTATTCTCGCAACCACTTCGAAACTTTAAGTGAACAAATATCAGCTTCTACGATACCTACCACAATGAAACTGTTACTCCACGTTTGCTGTACTGCAGCATACATGAAGTAGCAATTTCAGGTGAAATTGGGCATTAATTTCCGAGATGTGTGTAATTGAAAATTCGAAGTGGATGTGAATGTATAGCCTACGTAGTGGCCATTTGTGGACTCTAAAAGGAATCACCTTAAGGCGACGCCTTGTTACGAAGTAAGTAACATATAGGGGAAAGTGGGGCAGGACTAGCCACATCTGCAACTTGAAATTCGAATAAATTTACGTTAATTATAATCAGTGGCGTCCCGCAACCTCACTTTTTACCTGTGCATCAACTTTCAAAACTAGATGTAATGCTATATTCATCACTCGAATTTGTTGAAAAATACACTTAATCTTCTAGTTAACTCGATATCTATCCATTGCAAGCAATATTTTGATAATCGTTTATGTTTTGAGAGTTGGTGCACAGGTAGATTGAGGTTAAGGAAACGCCACTGATTATGATGAAGGTGCAGTGATGGGGCCTCCCTTAGCTCAGTCGGTAAAGGCGCAGCTACAAAGCAAGATCATGCTGGAGGTGGCTGGGTTCGATTCCCGGGCCGGTCTAGGAATTTTTCGGGTTGGAAAATGTCTCGACTTCCCTGGGCATAGCAGTATGATTGGACTTGCCACACAATTATACCAATGCAAAAATGGTACAGGCATCGAAAGCTCTCGATTAATAACTGTGGAAGTGCATCTAGAACACTAAGTTGAGAGCACGCAATAAGCTAATATGCGATAAGCAATAAGCTTGAAATGCGAAGAAGAAGAAGAAGAAGAAGAAGAAGAAGAAGAAGAAGAAGAAGAAGAAGAAGCAGTGATGGTTTCAATTTGCTCAAGCGTTCCCAGATATACCGATTTATCGGTATTTATACCGATTATCGAACTTGATACCGATATCAGGGCTGGTAGTAGGTAGAGAGGGTGTAGTATATAAGAGAGGAGCGAACTGGCTGATTTTGAGCCAAACGAGCTGTCAAAGCCAGAGCCAATCGAGGAGCGCCTATCTTGATTGTATTGGCAGTGTTGCTAGAAATCCCCTAGGCATATGTTGTCAAAGAATAGTTTGTTTTGAATCCACTTCTCTCTTATACTAGATCCTATCAAGTAGTAGATACGTGATATAATAGTAGTGACGAAAATAACAAAAATAGTGACTAAATAGTGACTATAACAAAATAAAACAGTGACCACTAGTGACATTTATTGATCAAAAAGATATGGTTCCAATCGTTCGTTGATTGCGACCCACTTCGAGAAATTTTATAAACTCACAACTAGTGATGTACCGAATATTCGGCCACAATAGTATTCGGCCAAATACCAAGTTTTGCAGCATCAAAATATTACTGGCCACTTGTTCGGAGAAAAATGGCAAAATATCAGTTAGCATATCGGCCATATAGGGTTACGGGATGTAATGTCAGTCTAGCCCATCCCTTCGGCCAATCAAGCAAATAACTAATTTATTCAGCAATAATGCACAATAGTAATGAAAAACTAACATCGCATCTGCTGTAAAATTTTAATCCGTAAATGAATTGCTTATTTTTGGGACAAATTTAGTACATTTATTGCTCTTTTCTAAAGTAAAAGTTGAGTGAAATTTTCATATTTTTCGATTTCTAGCCGCCATGATCTTGCCGTATTATTCCACTAACGAAAATCTACACTGCGGTGGTTATCAAAAAACCTGATAATTTCATGAATTGAAAGGACTTGCCCTTTTGTAACATTGTAGCCTAATAAATCAATATCACAGTTTTCACATGTATTGTAAATTCATAAGATTCAACGCAATTTGCGCTTTAAAACTATGGTTCGGCCCATTAATGACGTCATTTTGAGACGTGTTTTTAATTATGGCCTACGAAATTTATATGATGACTTTACTGCCCATAATCCCATCTTTGCTTGATTTCCTATCCATATGGGACTGATATACGATTATGGGTAGTTTATATTGATATTGGTGAAAACATTTGGGTAGACGACGAGGCTGCAACTCTTTACTCATGTAGGAAAATGCCATAATTAAATGTCAGTTTCGAGCGTTTCGAGAAAAGTCCCGAAGGCAAAACGGGTCGAAACGGTACGGTAATTCGCGTCTACAATCTAGTTCCAATCACCGACGGACATCGATTGCCGTCCATTGTCAGCAATCGAATGTGCAGGAAGGCAGCTTCCACACCTGCGTAGGATATCGCACCCATTCAAACCACATGGGCCGGGACCAACGGCTTTACTTCCCTTCCGAAGGAAAACGTGGCCAGAGATTTTTATGTCTCAGAAAAATCCCTCCGACCTGAGCTGGGATTGAAGCCACACGGAGAAAAAATACTACCCAAAATTTGAGTTCTTTTTACTTAATATTGACTTCAGCTTCTTACTTGCACTCGTTATTGTTGTCAAAAAAGGAACGAGAATTCGACCCAATAGTTCAGCCCAATATGTTACTTTTGAGTAAATTGCATATTCTCAAATTTACGTGAATTAAACTCAACTTTGGGTAGAATACACTTAAGAGTAGGTAATTTTTTTGCTGGTGTTAAATGGAAACTACTATATGCGATTTAAAGCCAGCGCCGGTGGTGTAGTGGGAAGCGTGACTGCTTTCTAACACCTCGATGGGTATGGGTTCAATCCCAGCCGAGGTCGGTGGGATTTTTCTGAGGCATAAAAATCTCTGGTCACGTCTTCCTTCGGAAGGGAAGTAAAGCCGTTGGTCCCGGCCCATGTATGTTGAATGGGTGCAATATCCTACGCAGGTGTGGAAGCTGCCTTCCTTGCACATTCGATTGCCGTCAATGGATGGCAATCGATGTCCGTCGGTGATTGGCACTAGATTGCGGAACAGAGACCGACGTTAAATAAAGGAAAGGAAAAATATGCGATTTACTCAAATTTGGGTTATTGGGCTGAACCCAGGAATTGAGGGAAAAGTACTTAAATTTGGGTAGTTTTTCATCTCCGTGCAGACCCAATGGGGTGAGAAAGCAGTCACGCTTACCACTACACCACCGCCGCCGGCCTCTGTGAC